CTTGGCGCCAGTCTCCTTCGCATTGACTCTCTGGGCAAAGCTTACGACATCAACCGCCAAGTCCATAGCACGCGATGGGCCATGCCGTGCGCCCCTCTTTTCTCGCCTTATCAGGTCGTTGGCTTACGCCAGCCTCCGATTCCTTGATATTTGTTGTATCTTCTTGCGGTGTGTCGCGAACGCGGTGACAATTTCCTGCAGACGCCTCAAGGCAAGCCTCACAGGCGAATGCCTTGTTCTCCTTGTGCTTGACCGCAATTTGTCCTCATCAAGATCTTATCCAAAGGACAGAGCTGCCAACCGGACATCTGAGCTGCCTGGGTCATGAAAACCATTGTTTTTTCGGAGATTTCAATACACCACCCAAACAAGACGCACAAATCTTGATATGCAAGGCAGGCTTGGATGTGGAATCTGAATAGATCGATCAAAGGACTTTTCGATCAGTCGCTGGGCCACAATGTATGACTCAACTTCCACATCGGAACACGGCATCCCGCAGAACAAGTCTTGAACCTGATACTGCGGGCCTCCCATGAGGGACCTGTCCAGCGAGTTCCTCGCCTGGCAGCTCATTCAGCTTCGAACTGAGGGTACAGATAATGACCAAGACACTCCGAGTCCTATCGAGAGCAGCCGCGTGGTCCGATATCGATCACCAAGCCTGTGCGGATAGACTGGAGCTGTGCGAACTTTGACATGGGACTCCATCCATCACTTCCGAATATCCACAAGAACAGGGAGGTATTTTACTATCCTTCCGTCACGCCGCGCGTACGGCCGGTGTACCGCACCGAGCCGCCTCCGGCTCGGTGTTCTTGTTTGGTTCGACGTGTGTGTTGATCATCTGGCCTTGTGGTGTACATCCTGGGATGACTTCCCGCCTGCATTGGCAGGCATGCACGTCGCAAGCCCGGCGCGTCTTGGCCCATGTCAGGCCCGGCTGCTATGTCTTCATTGCGCTATCCGTGGCGCACGCCGCAAAGTTGGTTACTTTCGCTCTGGCTTTAGTACGCAATGGGTATTGTTGAAGCTTGCTGGGCGAAGTCTTGGCCGGCTTGAGCTGAGCCGGCCGCTGGTCTTGTTGGCCAGACTGATGGACGCATGGGAATGTAGGCAGAGATCTTGGCTTAACCAAGGTCCGCGACTGGCATTCAAGTTATACGTGTCCTATTCGGGAACTGGGGCCTCTCGCAATTGTTTGGCTGTAGGTTCACCGGCAGGAGATGGGTCGAGTGATTACAGGGAACGAGGCTGGCCCGAGATTTGGACCTCGAGCCCATGTGACGTGAAAGATCCAATCAGTAAGGACGAATCGACGGCCTTGACGTCGCAGAGGTCAACTTACCTCAGAACCATTCGGGGCGCGTTTCCTGAGTACAGCAAGTGCAAGCAAGGCCCGCTACTGGCATGATACTAAATACTCGCACTGATGTTGCATGGAGCCCCGGCACTTGGCCCAACTCTATTTCTGGCGAACCGAGTTATTTCGTGGCATCCTGACTCTGAATCCTGGCTCGAATTTACCCATTGGGTGGCAGCTTTCAGGCTCGGGATCCCTTACCGCCGCAGATGTGTGTAATGGCCACGGGCAATCTGCATCGTGTTCTTCCTGTGAGTCTCAACCAGATGCGACAGACCTGGCGATGCCGTGGAGTGTGCCATATACATATACCAAGTGCGTCCTCAGCACCGCCATCAGACTGGATGTGATGAGGACGGCAAAACAAAGAGAATGAGGTATCCGAAGGAGAGTAAGGCCTAGGCTTTCGAGGTCCTCAACACAGTAAGGATACCCAGAAGACCCATTCTGATAAATCTCCTTCATGACATGCTGGTACAGTATGAAGGTGTTCCTCATTGAATTTATGCATATTATGAAACTCTGCATAAGATGGCCGAGTGAGAAGGCGACAGGTTCGCTGGCATTATGTGCATGACACAAACTTATGCAACATGGCCGAGTGAGAAGGCGACAGATTCGCCGGCATTATTTGCATTACATAACCTTGTATAACATGGCCGAGTGGGATGGCGACAGGTTCGCTGACATGCACGTGACGTCCGGCGATGCTGTTGCTGAGCGCCAAAGCCTTCCCTAATTGCTCGAATGTGAGAGCGCAACATTGACTGAACTATATACCTCGTGCACTTGTGTGTCATGTATGATTCGAACTGCTGGTGCATGGAGCATCTATCTCGTGGCCCTATTACCAGATAGCTCTGCTGAGAAGGAAGAGATAGACCTGATGGTGATTCAGGGGTTGCATGGATGCCTCCTGCAAGATCTCATACATCGCTGGCCTCTTCCAAATGGTCGACAGCCTATTGGCGATGACTCGGTGGGTTGCCTGAGAGTGGTTGCTTACGACTCTCAATACCTTCGCCAATGCCATTTAGCCATTTGATGTCGCCTGCCAAACGCAAACGAAGCAGACAAAATAAAAGCCATCAGATATGTGCTCACGATGCTCCATAATTCTGAGCGTCAGGTTTTCTTGCAACAAGACGCGGTATCTTGAAGACATCGTTTCCACTGCGTTTCGGCGAAGGCGCTCGCCGGGTGAAGCCGAGGTTGAGACGGCCAACAGACGAAAATACCGGCATACGAAGACATACCGACAGTATCAAGTAAGTATGCCAGTAACTATGCATTGTTCGTCTGGGATACATGAGCTATAGTACGGTCTGAGCCTCCTGCCCATCTCGACGCTTGTGAGAGGAGACCACCGAGGCCGAACTGCCTTGATTTTCCCGTTGTCCTGGCAAAGGCTTTGAACGGTAACCGCACTATTGAGACCGAGGCACAGAATATGTTCTGCCTTATCGGGGTAGATCCTATAGAATGTCTGAATATGGCAGGGAATCATTCCAACACAAACAGTGATAATCGCCGGTCCTCCGTGGTGAGTCGGCCCAGATTTGGAACGGCCCTGCGAACCCGGGAGGAGCCTCAAATCACTGCAGCTTTCAACTGACGGATGATTCTGATTGAGAAGCAACCGGGACCTACACCATTCACAAGGAACGTCCTGTTGACGTATGAAACGAGGCCCTTGAGCCTGAGCAGCAACGTCTAACCGAGGACCAGCACAGATATTGGCCCTGTTCAATGTCCCTCGCCCTTGACTTCCTTCACCGAAATGAGTACGCCTCCACGTCAAGTATTTTGTCCCATATTTATCGAATAGTCTAAATGGCCATGGCTTGAAACTGAATTCGGAGCAAGAGGATCTGCGAAGAGTTTATTCCCGGAAGTGAACACACGATATTGGATTCGACCAGGAGACAGGAGATGGAGGGAACAACATCAATACTGGGCTCTTCTGCCTTCTCATATATGGATAATCCGAGTAATGGCGCCCCAGACTGCTTATTACTTTCCGAACAGGACTATACAGTGACAGCAATGGTTACATGACGGACGTCACTCGCCATGAGGAATGGCAAACTTCGACCACTAAGCAGCCGATTCCAGAGTGCAGGACCTCGAGGAGCAGTCCAATCCGTTTTCGAGCATATGGGAATAATTTTCTGCCTTTATACATGCATTGTTCGGCTGGCAAGCTGCCATGACCAACGCACCTTGGAATCACGCCAAAGGTAACTTGTGATTGTACCTGAATGAGAACCAGTGCCTCGTCCCTACACTAAAGCCTAGGTACGCAACCGAGCATAATCAAATCAGTTCCGAGCGATCACGTCGTTCTCTTATCATGTGGCACGTAGAATTGAGGACGAGAAGTGATTGATTTCAATCTGCAAACTATGAAGCACCGGATACGAGTCGTGCCGTAGTCACCAAAGTCTCCGCAGTTGCTCTTGCATTCGCCTATTCAAAACCGTCTTTGCTCTCTTTCCACCCTCCTCGTCAGGCCCGTGTCCCCATGCTCGAGCTGTCGTCTTGAGAATGCCAGCGAGCCACGTTGCATAGCCCTTCCGCTTCCAGCCCTGCACAGAAAGTGCCTGATATCCTAAGCCTGTCCATCGATGAATCCTGTGCAACCACAGATGATGTGTTGCCCACCCAAGCATGCCTTTCGAAAGGCAGCATCCCGTTATTTTCCTGAGCTGGCCCCGGGATAAATTAAAAAGAAACTAAAAGAAGAATGTCCAACAACGATTGTGCCAGTGCAGTGGCAGGCATTGCGTGGTAGTGCCGACGTTTTCTTCTCTCCACGGCTTGTTGAAGTGGAGATGTGCCAAAGAAGTAAAGTAATGCCCAGGTATGTTCCAGAAAGCGTGTACGCGGACGGTCGTAAGATGGTATGAGGTGTAAATGGTAAAGGCCAGCCGATATCCATGCCCTTTGCCATGAGCATCGCATTACTCATCAGAAGGCCGATGTGGTGTTGTGACGAAAACGAAATGCACCCAACATGAGCCGTAATAAGTAGCCACTGCTTCATACACCGAAGCAAGGCGTGGCTCAGCGGTGAGGTGTGTGTTGATTGATGCGATGGAAGTTCCGATGCCCGATAGTTCCAAAAGTCATCCGTCAAAAAGGGGTTGATGACGGATGGTGTCCGTGTGATGAATGCCATGTCGGTCCTTGGGCCCACATACTTTTGTGCCACTGCAGGGCAAGTATCCTCCTCTCATGATCTCGCGTCTCTCAATAGACCCAAAAGATCTTGACCCGTGCAAAAAAGGGGGGAAATGATCAGAGACACGCCGGCCCGATCGATCAAAGGCGAGTCGTAACACGGTATCCTTGGCCCAGCCAACCGCCCGTCCCAAAACTGGAGAAAACATGCCGTTCCCTCCATTTGTTATGATGCGAGGCGCACCGCGTTCCCCCTGCCCCCCAAAAACGCCATGCTATGCAGAAAAATGATATTACAGAGAACCCAGGCGAAGAAGAGCCTCCACGGCGTCACGCTCCTGTGCGTCCGACGTGGCTCCTAGCGCCGAAAAGTCAAGGTTGAGCGGCTGGGGCGACCGCGCCATGCCGTTTGAGACGGACCGTAGGCCTCCTGAGGCGTGGACCGAATTCAGAAAACTGCGACCTGCCGGAGTGGCATATGAGTCAGCGCGTAGGGCGGCGGCACCAACCGCTGCCCAGTCTTCGTCGTCGGTCACGTCTTCGGGGTCATCGTTCATGATCATGTCGTCGTCAGGAGCCTCAGAGCACGAGGCTGAAGCCGAGCCGTCGAGCGACATTTTGTCGGCTTCGTCCTCCATCATCATCGGGTCGTGGTCATCGTGGGAGAAAACCATGGAGCCGGCAGTCTCGGAAGACGCGGCGTGGAGGCGCGAGCGATCGACTCCCCTAGCACCAGCACTGCTCTTGTTGATGGGAATGCCCGAGACGTATTCGTTGTCTGCGGTGGCGACGTTTGCGCGAAGGGATGACCGCGACGACGGGCGTCCCAGCGTCCCCCAGCCAACCTTCTCGAACTCGACGTCGCCATCAGGACCACCGCCCTCACCGCCTCGTCCCTCGAGCGCACCGACAACAAGCCTGCGCGCCTTGGTCGGAGGAACGCCTGCGAAGCCTGGGACTGAGGTGGTCAGGTAGCCCATGATGTGGCGGATGGCCAGGGGACCATGGTTGAGCAGAATCTCGGGCAGGTGGTGCTTAGCCAGCAGCTGGGCGCTAATAGCGCCAGTGGCATCGTAGGGAGGTGAGCGCGAGGCGTTGCGACCACGAGGACGGGCGTCGTGGGCATCGTGCAGGTCCAAGTCCGAGTCGATGGGCTCGAGCTTAGCCTTCTGCAGCTGGGCCTTGAGACCGTGAGGCGGCAGCGCCGGGGAGATGGAGTTGGGAGGAGTCGGGAGGGTGTGAGATCGTGTCACAGTCGGGACACTCCGAGCCGCTACAACAGTCAAGTTGTCTCGGCTCAAGGAGGCCTGGGGGGTATTGCGAGCAGCTGCTGCCGTGGTTGCCATGGTGTCGGATCGGGGTCCGGTTGCTTCGAGACGAGCCTGACCAAGCAAAGGTGATTAGTTTGCGGAAAACAGAGCGATGGAACAGAATCGTGATGCGATGCGACGCGTATTTGAGAGCAGAGAGAAAGGGGCAACGGTCGCGGTGGTCGCCAGGTTGAGTCACAGGGGGGGAAAAGCAACAAGGGCGCAAGAACGGGACGTACCAAGTCAGTCCGAAGCAGTGGGATAAGCTGATGCTTTGCGTAGAGAAGCAAAGCAAAGGGGTGGCAAGAAAAGCGACGACGGGCAAGCTAGCAGAGCTGAAGCAATGACCTTGACTGCAACAAGAAAATCTCGATGCGATTTCGTGTGGTTCTTTCGTGATGTGGTTGTGCGTTGGGGGAGGAGGAGGGAAGGGGAGGGCAGTGGGAATGGGGGAGAGGTTCTAATGTACAGCCATCGCCTATTGCCATGGTGAGAGACGAGTGCGCGCGCACATACACAACAGAGATGGAGACAGAGGGTACGTCAGTTGTGCCTGTAGATGCCAGCCAAGACGAGGTACCCATGGACAAGAGAAGGAGAGGTACGGCAGTATGGGGAAAGGTACTTGAGCTAGTGTAGCTGCAGCAGTGACAATCCAGGTCCCACAGGTCGGCTTGTGGGTACCTTCCCGCTTGCCTGAGGTCATGATTCCTGCCTTGTCATGGGCCACTGCTCGCTGAATGCCTGCCCGGCTGGCGTAGGTAAGTACATGTCTAGGCTGCACATTCCCCAGTTACGGGTAGTTTTGGGGCCGTGGAGCCCCGAAGCGACAGCGAAGCCAGGCCCGCCCAGGAGCCAGCTGTTCTGTTTTGGGCTGTCAGAGGGGGTGGCTGCAGCTCTTTCCCGGCCTGAGGCGCTGCACATGCACCGAGCGGCCAACGCGACAGGGAAACACAGGGTGTGTTTATAGCTGTGATGGGGGCTGATATATCCAAAGTGTTCATCCCTGCTTCCCGCTGGCACAAGACACATCGATGCTGTATACAGTGTAAGGTCGTCACTTGAGACAGTAAAGTTGGAAGGGGCGATCAGAACAGCACAGTTGCCTGGAGGGAGTCATCGCACATGGACAACCCAACTCGCTTTCCATGTTCTTTCCTCTCATGAGCGTCTCATGAGCGCTCACGTCTGAAGGAATCTGGTTCCTTGCACCCACCCTGATATTTGCGCAATTTCGCCATGGTAAAAAAAGATAATATTATTTTCTTTCTGTGCGCACGCCATCCTCAATAGCCCGTCCTCTGAACACGAAAGATTACAAGCTGTTGTGGATATGGACCCATCTGCTTTGCACGCGGCTGTCTTCCGGTATCAAAGCGCTTCCATGTCCACGCTGGCTGGACTTGCCCTTTCCCCCCTTCCCGTGGCACTAAAGCTGACAACGCGTATCCCTGGAGCGTGGAATCTGTGGACCGTGTACCACTAGCCACGGACAGGATGACTCAAACGTGCACCGTCGCCCACACAAAAAAATATTTTGGAAAGGCAAAGGGGGCCATCAGAAAATAGGGGAAACGAAACCACAAATACCACAGCGAGATGAGCCATCTCCCATCCCAGTACTCCGGCTCATACCAGGACGCTCGGCCCAGCATATCATGCCCTGCCACTTTCAACCCCCTGAAATTTTCACCTTGGTCGTGAGGGCATCATCACCCAAGTAATTCATACCCTGCCTTCGTCCCTCTGTCAAACACGGCGGAAACCGGGAGCCGGCCGCGCTGGCACTGCGGACCCAAATCCATGGACCCGTCAACTCGTCTCATCCCGGCATCGCTCTGATCACCGGCTTCTCCCCCGATGGCCGATGTACCCCATGTGATCCGCAATAGCTCCTGAGCTGCCCCTCCGCAGACGCCTGGCTCTTCGTGGAGATTGCGCCGTCTCACGAAACCATTGTGTCCTCTCTTGATCCATGATTACCTGTGCTGCCACTTGTTCTCATGTGAAACAACCCAGCCAGGGAACGGCTTGGACCACATTCATCAGATCCGTTCCATACCGTCCGTTACGGCTGGCTGGTATCGAAAACCGCCGTATGGACGATTCAGGATACCAAGGCTCTGGGCAGTCAAGATGGAACGTCCTTAGGGCTAGGGCAGGACTGGACGAGGGTCGATAGGTAGCCAAGCGCCATCATTCACGATAGCTATTTATCCCGTCATGCAGGGGCCGCGGACGTTGCGCCGATGTCGCCTTGCCTGTTCACGATCGCGATCAACGGGCACCTGATGCCTCTGTTGGCTCACCTAGTCCTAAATGAGGCCTAACGAAATTCTGGCCATCTTGATGAATGAGGCGATGTTGACTCTTTGCCTGTCATCGCTCGATTGGCGGTCACAAGGTAGGCCTAAGTCGTACCTAACCCTACCCGTCGCCTGTATACTTGACCATCCTTTGTCACAAGTCATGGCACTGCCCTTTGGTCAAACACCGAACGCCAAAGACCCCTTGATCGGCACTTGCATCCCAAGTATACCGACAAGCCTCGCTCCCTCGTGGCCAGAACCTTCCAACCCAATCGCAACATCAGACTCGAGTCGTGTTTGCCCTAAAAGCACCCTTAGGTTCAGCCACGGCGTGCCTACTCCGGTGTTGCGCCAAGCCGTCCAGAACGGACGTCCTGATACTACACTTACGACAGCATCATAATTGAACCTCATCACTATGAGCACGATGACGATGATACTGGGCCCAGGATCTCTGCAACTCATCCCCCAGAAGCTGCATGGCCTGCACTGCAGGAACTCCCACACGCCGCCGCCTCTGCGTCATCGTCACCAACACGAACCCAATGGTCCAGAACCGGACCAGATGCAAGAGCCGACGCCCCATTTACGCGTTGACTGGGGTGGCTGTGTACATACATACAAAGACTGGTGACTGGTTGGCGATGACTGGACGACTGAACGAGCCACTGGGCGCTCTCTATTTCCATCCCTTTCAGATCATCAAATGCCCGAACGCCCCGTTTCATTCTCACTGTGTACATCTCTTCGCGTCTGGGGGCGTGGCCTTACAATGACCGGACACACAGTGCTAGAACTTGCGCAGACACGGTCCAGTGACTTGTGTGTTTGAGAAGAGAGAGGGGGGTGTGTGTTTCCGACAGATAGGCAGAGCGAAGCCCCATCATGCGCCAGCCACCGACCCACGTCCACCCCCATCCTGCCCCCAATGTGTAGGGAGGAGATAAGAGACGACGACGACGTATGACTGCTATAATGACCCGAGGATTGCCAAAAAGTCCCTCCTCCCCTCCCCTCGGATACAAAAATGGGGGCCGATATCACTCATCAGGAAATCGGCACAGCATTCTTCCTCGGTGGTCTTGACCATTGCATTTCTATGTATCATCTGAGGGAGCAAGGCCAAGTTCCCGGGTTACCCTTTCACTTTTCACACCACCTGTAACAAACCAACCCCTCTCTCCCTCGCCCCTCATCGGCCAACGTTTCGGGCTGCGCGATGCATCTGCTTCCATTGGGCCGGTCCCCAGTACGAAACGCGGGCTGACACCCATGGGGCAACATGTATTGTCGCCTCGCGAAGACCATGCGCTGAAGAACTGCAGAGTGTCGACAACGAAGTGGAGGAGGAGTGTGCGCCTCGCTGGTTTCCATGCTCGCATTGGCAGTTGGCAGAATTCCATCGCACCACACACTTCTCATCCTCCGACGAGGCGCGCAGCCATCACGTTCCGTCGAGCGGGCCCTGCGATTGGTGTATTCGAAAACCGGCCGAAGGGTGCGACGGGATGATGGTGTGTACGTGTTAGCGTGGCGTGTAGGCAAGGCGCGCGTGGACAACTCTCCGCACCAAGGCAACAAACCCCACTGGCGTTAGACAAGGTCTACGTCCTGTTGCGTCTCATCAATGTGACTTTTCAGAGTGTCTAAATGAGCGATCCTCATCCGCCTGACCTCGCCCTGCCGCGCACTATACCCCATTCCACAGCACCAACACTGGAGGCTTGCCCGTGTACATGGAGCGCGTCGCGACAACTATCTTGGTAACGAGGGCTGCCCACATTTCTCATCGTGTCCCCGTCTTGGGCGGGGGCCTAGGTCGCTCGGCGCCAGGTTCTCCTCGAAGGGGGAAAGGGTACGGCACGACTGCTGTATGACCAAGAACGAGGAGATCCAAAGCCCTGGCGCCCCGCCCCTCGCATCGCACCGCCGCCCCCGCGATATCATGCCCTTAGTCCATTCACCCGCTGACACGACCCCACGTTGTGCAACGCTGCGTCGTGAAGCCTCGACAGGTTTTCAGGTCCGACAACTCGATATGACGCGCTGAAACCACGCGTTCCGTCCGTCCGTCGTGGCCCGATGCAGTCTACTGCCCATTGCTACTTTCCCCTCTTTCTTCCGCGAACTTTGGGAATCCTTCATTTTTTGAGTTGGCTCTCGGGACAGGTCTGTTGAGGGCCGGACTTCCGAAGTCTCCCGTTCGATGGCGGGCGGCGGCAAACAGCTTCCCGTCGGGTCCCGGCGGGGTGGGTTTGGTGATGCAAGCTCCCCTCCCCCCCCTCCACCCCTCCTCCTCCTTCGTTGCCTGCCCGCACCCGCGAGCGGCCATGCTCAACCCGCCCACCTTGGTAGGCACCTCGGACGGACCTGACGGATTGGTGGGGGGCTTCACATGGACCACGACGCAGCTTCAGCGCGCCTTTCGTCCCAACATATTAACTCGACACCCCCCACCTACTTGCTTCGGTGTGGTAGGGATAGTAGGGCAACAAATACCTCAAACTGTGTTCGATTGCGTGCATACTTGCGTCGGTCCGAGGTACCTGTTGATCCCATTTCAACGACATGCGATCTGGGCGAAAACCGTGACTTTGGTGCCATCGTGGGGAGGGGCTGGAGGAGGGTGCAGCCCTGGAAGCTAGCGCTCGACCTCTCACGCAAAGACGAACTCACGACAGGCCTGTGTGTGTTTGTGTCAGCATTCGAGGCAAGTAGATCCGCAGCAGGAGGGGAAGGGGCAGGGGCAAACAAACCTCCTTGAGCGTGTTCATCTTCTCCTGCGTGAGGGCGAAGACTTGCCGATACTGGCCGATGTTCTGCTGTAAGACCTCTGCCCTGGAAGCGCGGCCTTCGCAGATGGCCTTCATCTGGGCCTCCATCTCCTTGCGGAGGAATGGCTTGCCGAGGCTGGTCTCCAGCTCCATCCGATCGAATCCCACAATGAGTGCCATGCCCAGTTTCGTCGGCACGAACACCTTGAGACGACCCCGTCCGCCGGAGGATGACGCTCCTCCGCGTCCTCCACGACCACCTCGGCCTCTGCCTCCACGGCTGCCGCGGCCCCCTCTTCCCCCTCCTCTGGCCGGCGATGACTCAACCTCATCGTCGTCGTCATCCTGTGCGCTGGGCCTGTCTGGTCGACGAGGGCTGCGTACTCTCGATCCTGGATCTTCTGGATGTGTTCGGCCATGGTCGCGTCCGTGCCGATGCCGTTGATATCCATCAGCGCGATGAGATCGGCTTCCGTGAGATAGCTCGGCGGGCTGGTCTTGCCATCGGTCAGCATGGCCTCGGTGGGCTGGAAGACCTCGCCCACTCTGAACTTGGGCAGCTCAGTCGTGTCATTCCATTTCTCGTAGACGAACACGTCCAGATAGTTTCTCTCCAGCACATGTAACCCGTGGGCGTGAAAGCTCTCTTCGCCGTAGAGAATGTCCACGTTCGTCGACACACCCTTTGCGTCATCCGAGCAGCAGGCCAGAAAACGACGTACAATGTATTCATACAGCCGTTTCGCGTCATGGGTCAGAACAGAAGGCGAAGCAAAAGTAACGGGGTGAATGGGCGGATGGGCTTTATCGTCATGCCGGCCTTGTCGGGGCTGGCTGAAGCTCCCGCTCAAAAGGTCCTGGGCATACGGTCCCCAGGCGTCGGACTGCGTCTGCTTCTGCACCAGGTTCCGCAAGTTGATCTCCTTGTCGAAACGGTCCGTCTCGGTCCTCGGGTAGCTGATGAACCCCTTGTTGTAGAGGTCCTCGGCGACACTCATGGCCTGCTGGCCACTCATGCGCAGGAGACGCGTGGCTGCCTTTTGCAGCTCGACGGTCGTGAGCGGGAGAGGCTTCCACTTGCGCGTCGGCTTCTCCTGGACCTTGGTCACCTTTGCTGTCCTTGCCTGGATGCATCGTTCGTACAAGATGGTGACAGCCATGCGGTCGAAGAGCCGATTCCTTGACCAGGCAAACTTGACTTTTTTGCCCTCTTGGGTGTGGTTGACGTGGATGCTCCAGAATTTCTCGGCAACAAAATTCTTGACCCGGAAATATCGATCGACGACGAAGCCCAGTGTTGGAAATTGACAGGATCCTGGGTTCATCAGCAAGAGACGTCGTCTTGAAGGTGGACTCAGGCGGAATGACCTACCATAGCTAATTATCATTTCAACGAGTGGTCCGCCGAGGGTCCTCAGGTTGGTGGTCAGGAACCGTGTAAAGGCATAGCCGATCCGAAGGTCCAACTCCATTCGCGCGTCTACTGCGTCTGCCTGACGTTCATCAAGATCCACCAGGTTCTTCGCCGCTTGTATGACATGACTGTGAGGGTCAGTGTGGTGATGCAGCAAGCAGTCCCAATGGACAAGAGACATACGTTCTTTCAATGTTGCTGAACTTGGCTCGTTTGACCCGGATCGTCGGCTTTCCTTTTTTTGCCAGTCCGACAATTTCGCGTCCGATGTTCTCGCCCTCGCGATCGCAATCCGTCCAGATGATGAGGAGATCGCAGTAGCGTGCTTGTTGCTCGATATTGTCGGCAACCGCCTTCTTGTCCTACAATGGTTTCAGCATGTAAGCCATCAAAACTGGGAGGGAAAGGACGCCTACAGAAGCCACAGTCGTTACGATCGGCGCATGGAATAGCGAGTCCGGAGGGGGGTACTGCCAGTTCTTGTTGGCAGGGGTGAACTCCATGCCGAGAAGATGGCCACGGACAGCTGTCATGGTGACGTCGCACTGGTTCCATGGTGGGCCGAAATTAAAGTTAAAGCAGTAGTTCTTGGTGAACCGGTCATTTGTGTTGCGCTGTAGGAATTGGACTCGTCAGAACGATGAGGGGTGACCGGATGGGATGGATGTAGAGGAGGGGCTCTCACAGTCTGTGCTTGCCCGCCAGACAGGTGATCAGTAACGGCTTTTGAGATGGACGGCTTCTCGGCCACGCAAAGAACCCGCATGATGACTCGGTCAAACTCAAAAGGAAGCGAGAGCTTGCGATGGTCGAACAACAGTCGAGGACGTGGCAGTTGCCTGCGTGTGTCAAGAGCCGATGTGGTATCTTGGGCGTGACAAGCGAATCGTCGAAGGGCACGGCGCGTCTCCCCTGCAAAATCACGGGGAGCAGACCAATGCTCCAATTCTACAAAGACGCCTCGCGACGACGCTCCTTCAGCCAAGCTGCAAAACTCTCAAGCACACAAGACAGCGTGTTGCCGACCCCATCTCAGTCCTCTCTCATACTGAACGGGTGAAGATTTATCTGCGGCAGACGTTGAGAATGGGGTCAGCACTCAATCAAGCACATCTAGGCACGGAGCCTATCAAACGAGACGATCCACATCAGATGGCCTTCGGGAAGCTGCAAGGGGGAGTCCCCCGCGTTAAACCTGAACGGGACTGAACGGCAGGGGTTCTTTGCTCCAGGACATGGACCTCAGTCTATGACGCGCGCGCCCGTATTGTACCTCCCTCGCCTGATGTCTGTCTGTTCTGCCGTCCTACTACATCAGCTGCCGCCGGAGGGACGGTAGCCTCTCTTGCGATATTCTCGTTCCGCACTTTCCATCGTCCCCCTCTCGACAGCTTGACGAAGCACGAAGCACGACACCCGCCGACAATGGACGTACCCGCCACTATTGCCGCGCTCCCAGCGGCGTTGCCGACGCTCCAGCGTATCCAAGACTGCGCCAACTGGACGCTCACCGTCAAGCCATTCATTCCCCAGCTCTTCGAACTCCCGAACCAGGTCCTTGAGAACATTGCCAGTCCCGCCGGCCTGCGCCAGCTCTACACCGAGACCAACCCTCTGATCTCTGGCTTTGCCGCCTCTTTGGCATTGTCCGTCATTTTTGCCATCGCCGCCGAAATCAACCGCAACTACTCCCAGGTCGACCGAGCGTGGAGTCTGCTGCCCAACCTCTACGTCGTTCACCTGGCTGTCTGGGCCAGGCTTGCCGGCATCGACGCCTCGAGAGTCGAGTTCCTCTGCTCAGCCACTACGCTGTGGAGTGTACGTCACAAGAGACTTTTGGATCCTGATGGAGGCCACCACTGACGAGCTTGACACAGGCCCGTCTGACCTTCAACTATGCTCGCAAGGGTGGCTACAATGTCGGAAGCGAGGACTATAGATGGTACATGCCCCTGCGACGAGGCGGAACGAGCGCCTGCTGACTTGAACACAGGGAAATCGTACAGAAATACGTCCCGCACTGGGTCTTCTTCATCTTCAACATTGTCTTCATCGCCATCTACCAGAACATCCTCCTCTTCGCCTTCTCCTGCGCTCCCGCCTACGTCATTCTCCTGACCACCCAGTTCGAGAAGGAAGTGGGCGCCTCCGACTGGGCGTACTGCGGCATCATGCTGGCCCTCGTCCTGTCCGAGTACATCAGCGACGGCCAGCAGTGGGACTTCCACGCCGCCAAGCACAAGTACCAGAAGAACGCCCAGGTCTCTGGCGGCTTCACCCAGGCCGACCTCGACCGAGGCTTCCTGACCAAGGGCCTCTGGGCCCACTCCCGCCACCCCAACTTTGCCGCCGAGCAGCTTGTCTGGTTCATGCTGTACCAGTGGAGCTGCTACGCCTCGCGCACCCTGTTCAACTGGTCTTTCGTTGGGTCTGGCTCCCTGATCCTGTTGTTTCAGGGCTCTACCTGGCTCACCGAGCTCATCACGACCGGCAAGTACGCCGACTACAAGCACTATCAGAAGAACGTCGCCATGTTCCTGCCCACGTCTCTCTCGGGTTACAAGGCGCCACCGCCGACTGCGAACAGCACGTCTGAGAAGCGCAACGGCAAGAAGTGAGGGACGCATGGATGATGAACTAAACGGCACCATGGCAACGCCGCTGATCCGTCTCGATCCGTCTTGGAGAATACTTTGTCGACTGCCCGCTCATGTTTTGCATCTATGTAGAATGCATCTAGATAGCTCTAATGTCTAACGTCAAGCATCAAGCATCGTCTCGACTTGCTCATGACTTTTTTTCTTTGTAGCCACGAAAAAAAAAAAGGAAATCACTCGATCCTGAGATCCCGGATGCCATCGACGTAATAGGCCGGCACGGCCACGGCATCCTCGGCCTCCCAGTCCGCCTTTGTGTTGACGCCAGTCAGCACAGCCAGCGTGCCGCCGAGCTTGCCCTCGATGCCAAACTTGATGTCCGTGTTGAGGCGGTCGCCAATCATGCACGTCCTCGCGCGGTCGAGGTGGAAGCGCCCCGTCACGGCATCCATCATGGCCTGGCTCGGCTTGCCCAGCTCGAGGGGCTGCCTGCCGATCATGTTGACGAGGGGCACGCCGACGCTGCCGGCGCCGGGGAAGAAGCTGCCGTTCATGGGCAGGGTGCTGTCGCAGTTGGTGGCGAGGAAGACGGCGCCGCGGCGCAGGTACTGGTAGGCCGTGGCGAGCTTGAGGTAGTTGACGTGGAAGTCGAGGCCCGCGAGCACGACGCCGACCTCGGGGTCGAGGGCCGAGCCGTCGGCGAGGGCGTCAAAGTCGGCGGGCACAATGTCGCGGCGCAGGCGCGGGTCCGTGCCGCCGACAAAGGGGACGTTCTCGGCGCGCAGCTCGTCCTCGATGCCCGACTCGCCGAGGACGAAGACCTTGGGCTTGTCGGCGGGCCGACGCAGGATGCGCGAGATGTAGATGGACGCCGAGTAGGCGGAGCCGAAGACGTCCTCGGGCGTGCACTTGATCGAGAGCTTCTGGAACTTCTTGTGGTAGTCGGCGCGGGACTTTGTCGAGTTGTTCGTCACGAAGATGGTCCGCTTGCCTGCTCGTCGTGTGAGTTGCGCATTGGACCCTGGGGCTGGAGAGGCAGCGGCCCATGGAATGACTGACCTTGGGAGTGAAGGTAGTCGATGGCCTCGGGGACGCCGTCAAAGAGGTGATCACCGGACCAGAGAACGCCTGTAACCTCATCGGTGAGTGATCAGAGGGCCGTGAGACTTTTAGGAGGCGTACCATCGCAATCGATGAGGAACGTCTGGCGTGAGGTCAGCAAGGTCATCAAGTGAGACGGACGGGGGATAATCGCGCACGTCGAACTTGTTCAGGAATTCCTGAAGGGCGGCCTTGTCGCCGCTGAGGTACTTTGAAGACATGATGGCGGATCTTGAAAGGCGGTTGTGTGTTTAGGATGAGATGGTAAGAACGAGGTTGGTGTTAGTGAGATGTATTGTGGATAAGTGTCGTGCAGGCGTGAGCAGGATTAGTCACGTCATCATGGTCCCCGTTCGGCTTTCTCTCCGGGTGCGGTCCCCATCTACGGCCGATGTACACTTCGCCGTCTCGTCCTGGGTGGTTTGGGGACAAGAAATCGAGGACGATATTCATTCCGTTTTAAGATGCTTCATGACATGCATGGGATCGAGTCGATGGCTGTATGAGTTCTGATAGACCATGATGCCGCGCCTCATATAAGAGCTAGGTAGAGCGGGTCGGTAGTTCAACCTACTACCCCTCAACACCAGATTGTCGAGAGTTCATGATACAGACTCTGCCATGGCATGGCTGACTACATGGTTTCTGTGGGCATGGAGCGAGCTGCTGGACTCCTGTTTCGTCATCGACATGACACATTTGCCATTGGACCATGATCATGAAACTGGCCTGACAGATGAACCCGTGAGATTCTTTATTTTCCCGCTTATACCCTACTTAGATACCTGGGTAGGTAAGGTAACAAGGCAGGAAGGTAGAAAGGGCTGACTGGCAGGGTACCTAGTCAAATGTAGTGGTCTACATGTACATGCCTCAGGTAGGAGCTTGGTCTTCAGTGGTCGCAGGCAAGCAGGTGTCGGCCACCGCTTCTATCAATGACCCCTGCCAATCCCGCACTCTGATTCACCGACGCTCACCGTTGACTGGCCCCTGCCTTTTCACCCGCATCCCCAACGCGCGAGCCACCTTCCCCGCGTGGGGGAACGCCCACCTGCCGTCTCAGTGGTGACCTCGTACTCAAGCCCTTCACGTAACGGTTCACTGTCGACCACCCAAGGCACACCGAGCACAAGTCCGGAAGTCGTGGGAGGCTGTGGAATGGCGCCGGACGAACCTGTGCGTCCCTGGTCACACCACAACCACCTCACCTCAACCACCCCACGCAAGCCTGGACCAAAGCAAAGCTGTAACCCGGCTGACCCTGCCAATCCTTAAAGTTCACGAGTTACCTGCCTCGTTCCTCTTCCCGTCTGCCTTTGACTTTTGACCTTTCATTTCAAGTTTGATTGTATTCCTTCCGATAGCTCCGGTAGGTACCGTAAGCTGTCAGCCCTTTTCTATAGAGCAGTTCGCTCCCAGGCAAGCCAGCCCTCTTCTTCATTTTTTCATCTCTCCCTGTGCCTCACCATAGACCGACCATTTCCCACGATCAATCAAACGGCAAACGGAACCGCAAAGGAACCGCAATCGCCAGAAGCCATCGAACACCATCATCAAAGTAATCATGGCCGTATCCTCCCAGTCCTCCACCGCAGCACCTCCCACCACCGTCACCATTCCTCCCCATACACCAACGTCGGGCTCGACCTCGTCCACAGACCCCTCGCCCACCACCACCACCTCGCCCACCCTCGCAGACCACCGCCCCTCGATCGCAAAGACCTACACGGCCCCGCCCCCGCTGGACCGCCAGTTCCCCAAGCCCCCGTCCGACATTGACCTCACCGAGGCCCTCCGCCGCGCCCCCGGCCGCTGGACCATCCAGGGCAGCATCAGCGCCAAGGAGGCCGCGCCCCGCCAGCCGCGCGCCGATCGCGACATTGAGCAGCTCAAGGCCCAGCGCATCATCGACCTCGAGACTGCCAAGGCCCAGCTGTTCGCCTACAGCGACAGCATGCAGGAGGAGGTCGTCGCGCGTGAGAGGCTGCGTCGGACGCAGAGCATCGCCAAGAAGACGGCTTTAGATACCAGCAAACGGGTATAAGATGTCGACTCATAACAAGGAGAAAAAAGCCCCTGGAAGCCCGGTTCCGAAATGGGAACTCGGACGCTCGATCCTTTGAGAAATGGCGTTACACATGTGAGGCGCAGCGGAGAGGACATGATCAACGATAGGCGACGACGGACGGAGTTCTTTATGGCAGGGTTCAGCAGTTTTAGCAAAGGGAGACAGTGTACAGTACCAATGAAAGCCCCCAATTTCCCCTGACAAGCGGCTCACGCCCCCTCGTGACACAGCTACTTCGACACAGATGGCAATCGCGAGGACATGGTCCCGAACAGCCGCCTCTACGAGAGGCGCGATCCCAGTGTGAACCCGTAGGCGATCGTCGCGATGAACGTGCCCAGGTTCAGCAGCGACGAGATGCCGTGCATCTTGCCAAAGCGCTTGTTCAGCGCCTGCATCTCCTGCGAGTGGGGCGCCGCATCGTAGCTCTTCTTGCCGTCCTTCTTCTCTGTTCTGCTGTCAGTCGTGTGCTTGTTCACTCCACCCGCGGAGGAGGAGAGGCGAGTGAGGGGGCATGCGTCAGACCTTGGGCGTAGCGGGCCGCTATGATCTTCTGCGTCGCGGGCAGGACCACCAGCAGGTTGACGGCGCCGGTGACGAACATCGTGGCAATGGGCAGCAGGGTGCCGCGGAAGTTTGATTCGTCGAGAAGGCCGCCGAGGCCAGAGGCAACGCCGAGGGGGTTGCTGCTCCCGGGGTAGGTCAGGGCGAGGATGGCGGGGAGGGCCGTCTGCAGGGCGAAGTAGATGGGGAAGAGAGCATTCTGGGCGGCCGAGAATGAGGGGCGCTCGAGCACTCGGAACATGGTGATGCCATTGACGAAAGACTGCAGGGTCAGCGGAGAGTTTGCCCGCCAGATCTTGAGCAGGCGCCTACGTGGAAGAAGGTCGTTCCCAGGAGCGTGCCGTAGCTGTTGATCGTTAGGCGCCGGTGAGACTCCTGAGTGTCCTGCGAGCAGGGGCTCACCTACGAGATGATGTGGTACGGTGCTGGGGAAAAGAAGATGGAGCCCGCCATTTTGACCGCAGGAGTAGTGAGGCTGCGCGATTTGGGTGAGCTTGTGTTGTGCAAAGGCAGAGAGAAGATCGTAACTTGAGGCGCACAAGGCAAAGTACCTTCGCTCATGAGAGCAAGTTGTAGTCGTCAACACTCCATGGTCCGATACGTCACGGCACTTGAGGTCCCCACTATTGCGGGTCATGCCTAAGGCAGGCCTGGCCACAGGCGGCCACAAGGCACGGGCACAGGGCAGGCCATTCCATTTGGATCACTCACTTACTTTGACACCTCTCTCTACACGAACATCCTCTCGCAGGGTTCACGTAGTGGAGGACGTGAAGGCGGAGTTGAGCAATAGACGCTAGTCAGGCGAAAGGAGTGGCTTTAGTTGATGGGGCAACACAAGTGATCCATACTCGGACGCTTTTTCGTAGTAGGTTCTTTCGGCCTCGTATGTAATAAATCAATATGCACGATCTTGTTTGTCTACATATACCTCTGGCGAGTACTTTCGTATAGGCGCTGTGGTCGCCTCACGTCCCTGATCCTAATTGTCTTCCCTCATACTTCACTCAGCGCCAACGAGAAGGTTATATGTCCTGGACCGGTGTGAGCCATCCCGATCATTGGTCCAAGAATGGCCATGGTCGGACATCAACCACAGATATAGCTCATGGCTTAGCTCCTATGAAAGCGACCATGCTTAAAATGATATTTCAGAAGCCTCCCAGCGTCGCTGGCACAGGCCTCTTTCTTGTAGCTGCCGAAAACACCTTTGCTGCATCTGGTCTGGCAGTCGTGGGGTTCCATGCAAATGGCATGGTTCTCAGTACGATCCATTCATCAGCCCGGAATCGACCTGGGCCACCTTGTACTCAATGCGAACTTCAGCCATCTGTAAGGGTCAACGCCTGGGGGTTTTCAAAGCGGTATCGGAAGTATTGCCGGCCCAAGTGGTCCTCGCTTCAGCCGCTTGCGTCTGATGCGAGGAGATCCTTCTTCCTGAACGAATGAGTCAAGAGATCTTTGCCATCGGACTCCGTTCATCAGGATCCGTTACGATCATCTTCTTTATCAGGTCAAGGAAAACGTCTCTCTCCTCATCATGCGGGTGCCTAGACGACCTTCGGTTCGCCTCACGTGCTTCCCAGGCTCGAGACCGGTCAGAGGAGACTAGACCTGGAGACTGTCAGCATCACATTCTCCATTGCAGCGAAGAAGGAATATCAGATAGAACGCACCATTTCCATCGTGGCGATCCCGCTTTTCCCGAATTTCGGGCCAAGTCTTCGGCGGAGGCCCACCAAGTTGAATCGCCCGAACGAGATGGCCATTGGGAGAACCCCACGTCGAAATGAGTTCATTCCCTGACTTAATATGGTATAACTAAACAAAGTCATTAGCGCCAGTATCACGAAAGCTTACACAGAGTACCTACTGTACAGCCGACCGCCCAGATGTCAGCGGCCTTGCCCCAAATAGAACCCACCTCACCTCTGTAAATTTCGTGGATTACGACCTCTGGGGGACGAATCGCGTTAGGCACCGCTCCTGCCAATATTGGGACAGTCCCAGATATCCTGTAGGCTAATCGAGTGAATCATTGGCATGAGCAGAGTTCTAAGAAGAAGACGAGATGCCAACGTAGATCTTCCAAAGTCCAGTATCCTAATTGACATTGCCGAGCTTGCGGGGAATGCATGCGAAGCTTGTAAAAACTCCGCCAACGACACAGACAGAGTCAGGTAGGGCGGCAGCGAGTCCATTGGGAAGGATGGATCGCGTGGAACGACAGGAACGATCTCGGGATTCGCGAAGTATTCAGTAATGTCATCTTCATCGAATTGATCCAATTGTGGGAGTGCAACCCCAAAGTTCGCCACGTGGGGATCTGTACGACGTTAGTTTATCGAGTTTATATGATGCGTACCACTGATTGTACCTCCGTGTGCTATCCCATGTTCATGAAGGAATGCAATGCCCTGTACGATTTGGCGTATAGCCCCGGAGGAACACTGTCGCCTCACATCGGGGTCGCTCAGGGGGGAGATCACCTCGGTCACTAAACATTCGTGGCATCCATTCGGTCCCTGGATGGTAAAGACGTCAAAGAGTTGAATAACTCCCTGATCACCATCCTTTTCGAGCAAGATTTTGCGGAGATCGGACAGGATTTCTGTCTCTCTGCTCACGTGAGGCGTGTCCGACCCTAGACAGACTTTAACAGCAACATAGCGTCTGTCAAATGCGCATCAGTGATTTTTTTTGCACCAATCGATCAGGAGCCCACATACTCCTCCACAAGATCGCGGGCGAGCCAGACCGTGGCAAATGCTCCGAATCCGAGTTTCAACATGACACGGTATCTGGGTTTCTTAGCTGGATCGCTGACACATGTGGCCAGCTTGGGAAGGATGTCGCCCAGTCTGATCGGATGTAGTCCATATCGCGAGTATTTCGTCAGAGCTTCACACCGTAGTTCATCTCCAGTGTAGACGAATTGTTCAAGTTGACCGACCAGGCAGTTTTTATCAGGCATATCGTCCTGGGTGCAAGTACGCTTCCGGGGGTAATTGAATGGTTAATTCATTGTAGATGGGGCGAGCGTGACGCCAAACACTTCGAGACCAAAACGGCGGATCCAACCTGCTCAGACCTGACCGGTCAGAATCCGGAACACCCAGTAGCGGGAACCGCGCTTGCATCAAAGACCAAAAACCCTGCCATTAATCGCTCCAAACATTTGAATTCCCGCGCGCTTAGTTGACCACTCGTTATATCTAAAGAGGCTGTAATTTAGCTGACAAGCAGGTCTAATTTTTTCATTCTTCAGCCGCCAGGGGCTGCGCCGCTCCATCCATGTGTGCTACTTCTGTGATACAGTAGCTTCATGAGCTACCTGGTGAAGATGCACAGCTGCCCGGCGGATACTGGACTCATGGTGAAGAGGTAGTAGCGCCTTCCAAGCAACGCGCGCACTTCAACGGGTGCGGAGAAGGTCGCGCAGTCGATCGTGGAGGTATTTCCTGGACCTGTCTGTATATTTGATCGAAAGAATGGCACCCACCTGCTGCTTACGGGAGCGAGCCTTGAGGCATTGTATTTCATAGCGCTGCCGTTAGTCACTAGTTCGCGGCTGTAATATACTTGGTATGAGGTAGAAAAAAAGCAAAGAAAAAAGGGTTGTTCAACGAACGTGGGGAACCTTTTCGTTGTCGTAATGCCTGGCTTGCGAAAGAGAACGCTCAAGTACGATGAGCTTTGCAATCCCGCGCATACGTGGTATACCTAGCTCAGAGCAACCAGGTAGGGTAAGTCGGGGCGACGTAGCCCGAAAGAACAAGATTCGGATTCGGTTTCGGGGTGACAGGGGAATCTGCAGGGATGTCGGAAATACGAGGTTCCATAACACCTGTGTACCTACCTCTCAATGCATTCGACCCTCCAACATTATACCAAGTATGCAACGGACTATCACATGGCGAGACTGCGTCAGACTAACACATATTGATTCGCTGCCACTTGCCGTGGGCAGCACAGCTTGGCTTGGAGTGGCCCGTTCCGGAAATCTGGGTTGCAGGGTCTCTTACGTGACAGGCGTGCTGTGGGGATAAGGTGAATCAAGGCTTGTTCGTTCATGCGACTACAATGCGGAAGCTTGGCGCGCTTTCCATGATGAACAGCCCAAGAGCCCCAAGACAGGGCACATGTATGGCCTGCACCGGCAAACAAGCTTCGATGAAGCTAGATAACTTAGATCGCAGAAACACTAGAATCTTGATTGACCGCGGAAAGTCCCGCCCATCTTTCACTTCAGAAGCCGGGCAACCAACGAGACCCCATTCGAGAAGCCCCGTGTACGGGAAGCAGTTGACATAACAAATTGCATAGCAATTTGAGGACGTGGCCGAATGCTCCATTCGCGGAAAAGGGCGTCTCCACGACTCAAGTGACTAGCCAGGGCTGGAGGTGGCGGAGGTGGTGGGTTCGGACAGGCATCCAGTGCCTCAGCAACTCAGGTAGGTCAAAGTAGGGATCGCCTTGATCGAAATGGTCAGGGAATTCAAGGCTCGGCCGATGGCCTATGCTTAACACACGGATCTCGCGTGCCCCTTTCGTCCATCAGTAATCTGGGGAAACGATGTCCCGCAGCTTGGCCAGTTGCCGCTTGAATGGGAAGCTCACTGCCGATCAGGAGAATGCAGTGCCACGTCTACATAGGGCGAGTTTCTTAACCTGACAGCGAGGTTTCCGTATTGTAACAATCACGATCAATTCCACCAATCTACAATCTAGCAGGGAATACGACCCTACCCGACAGACATGATCCTGGATCTTAGGGGCACACACCGTCTTTGCTACTTCGGGGGGCCGGTCGGTTGGCCCCGTAGCTTGTTCGAGGTAGATCAATGGAATAATGCTCCGCCAATGAAGATCCGCGATTTTGGGCAGCGCATCCGATATGGGCATGGTGGCCCGTGATTGACGGAGGCGATCTCGCATCAGTGCATGTTCTTGAGCGGACTTCCAGCGTCAAGAGAGTCGTCTAGTGACTGGAACTCCGCGGCTCTGTGGCAGACATGATGGAGCTGGAGTCCACTCCGGAACCCTCTTGGATATACAAAAGGATAGACAAGAACCTGAGGCGGCTGGCGACCACTCGACCTCCCGACCAACTGCTTTTTAGAGTGGATTGTTCCTGATCTGTCACTGCCTTGCCAATATGAAGTTCTCCACCGCCGTCGCCGCCGCTGGCATCTCCAGCCTCGTTTCCGCGCAGACTCTGAACATTCCCACCCGAACCGGCAACATCATCTCTCTCCCCCGGCCTTCCTACATTTCTGGCGCCAAGGACTTCAACAACCAGGAGTTCGACCGTGGTCAGAGCTGTGAGGTCGGTCTCGACGTCGGTGTCGACGAGCCAGTCTTCATCCTGGAGAACGGCGCGTCCATCAGCAATGTAAGCGCAAAACAAATGAAGCAGACGACCAAATGAGAGGCTGACGAGTCTTGCGCCCTGACAGGTCATTATCGGTGCTCGCCAGGTTTATGGCGTTAGCTGCAAGGGTAGCTGCACATTGACCAACGTCTGGTTCCGCGATGTTTGTGAAGGTGAGTCCTCGTCCTTTGGTCTGCCTCTACTTCTCGGCGGCCGGACTGACGTGTCGACCCTATACAGATGCCATCGCTGCCCTCGGAACAGGTGATGTCCTCGTCAAGGGTGGTGGTGCCCGCAACGGTGCCGGCGACATCATCAGACACAAAGGCCGCGGCACTGTCACGGTCGACAGCTTCACCCTCGTCGACTCGGCCAGGCTCTACCGCAGCTGCGGCGACTGCTCCAACAACGGCGGCCCGCGCAACATTGTCGTCAAGAACGTCAAGGTCTCTGGTCTGAAGTCGGAGCTTGTCGGCATCAACTCGAACTTTAATGATGTTGCCACTGTGTCTGGGTCGTGTGGTATCTCCAACAAGGTGTGCCAGGAATACCGCGGAGTCGCGAAGGGATCGAGCAGCTACAAGGTCACCACCACGGCCAACTGCCAGGGTGCGCAGGGCAAGCTGGCCAACCTTCCTGCTTGTTAAGTGCGATCATGTGGCAGGGCGCTTGCCAGACATGGCCGATTTCGGGCTGCCCGACTTTGTGTCATAGCTAGAAGATCATCCGTCACGCCAGATAGCGGCTTTGTGAATGGACAGACATGCCAGCGGTCAGAAACATACCATGACCTCTTCTTCTTCGCCTTCAGAACATAGAATCCCTGGTGCTACGGTTCCATAGACCCATTTTGTTATTGGGATGCTGATCTGCCATGGCCTTGAAAACGCGTATTCCAGCAAGTAGCAGCTCCGTGCGGTGACTGGCAGCCTTTTCCTAGTGACGTCGCAGACATGACCACGCCATGCATCAGGTGATGGTTTGTGCTGGAATTCGTATTTCCTTGAAGAGACATGAAGTCAGTGCATGAGGCTGAATGACGAAATATCCGAAGCGTCAACTACATTGTGGGAGGAATCGGACTTGATTAGTTCTGATCCCGACTGATTGACCCAGAGAGTCCCCATGTTCGGTACTGTGCCAGCCCCCCACCTACTATGCTTATGGTGGGGTATCTGCACTGCAAATCAACAAGGTCCCCGACTCAACAGTGCATCGTGACGGGCATTGGAGATCATGAGTGTCCCAAAATTGCCGCATCTCAACAATCCGGCCAGGTGGTGGAGTGGTTAACACGTACCCCTGCTAAGGGTATCTCTCCGGAGGCGCAAGTTCGAATCTTGTCCTGGTCGATTTCTTTTGCCAGTTTTGTATCATTGGTGATACAATCTGTTTTTAGTGCTGAAGTTACGAAGTCGAATAACGAGCTGTTGTACTGAATATGTCGAGGACCGTTTGTTGGACTTTCTGCGACGCCGGATCACGTGGCACCGTGTTGAACACCAGCGCGACATGGACTGCGCTAGACGTGTCGCAGGGGCCATTTCATCACTCAGACTCAGCTCACTCACACCAGCCAGCCTGTTGTCTGCCTAAAACGTCTGGTCGATATAGGCGACTTGCTGCCTGCAGCTTTATGTTTCCATGCCATAGACATTTTCTTCCATAGGTGATGGGCCTCACACCCTCTGCATTTCTCGCCATTGTTCTCACCATTTACTTCTTGCAACCTCGACGCACACATTCACCATGGCCGACAAACAGGCTACTGTCTTCATCGTCGACCTCGGCTCGTCAATGGCCGACTGCCACAATGGTCGCATCGAATCCGACCTCGACTGGAGTATGCGCTATGTCTGGGACAAGATATCAACCGTCGTTGCAGCCTCGCGTAAAACGTGGACCATCGGTGTCGTCGGTCTTAAGACCGACGAGACGCGACACCTCCTCCAGGATGAGGAAGGCTACGAGAACATCTCTATACTGCAGGAGATTGGCCCCATGTCCATGCACTCGCTCAAAGAGCTGCAGGACGTCATTGTGCCCTCTGAAACGCACACCGGAGATGCAGTGTCGGCAATCGTCATTGCCGTGGACATGATGGAGAAATACACCAAGGCGCTGAAGTATGCACGAAAGATATATCTCATCACTGACGGCACGGGTCCCATTGATGGAGATGACTTTGAAGACATTACGAAAAAGATCAACCAGGACGGTATCGAGCTAATTGTGCTGTGAGACATGCCGGCCATCACACCCCCGTTTCCCGACTGACAGCCGTAGGGGCGTGGATTTCGACGACGCGGAATACGGATTTAAGGAAGAGGACAAGCCAAGTCTGAAGGCAAGTCAGCCCCGACCACACCTGATGAGTCTGTTATTGACTCTTTTCTCAAGAAAGAGAATGAACGCCTTCTCAAGGACCTCGTGTCCAAATGCAAGGATGCCCAGCTGGCCACCATCGCCGAAGCCATTGACGAGTTGGACACGCCCCGCCTCAAACCCGTGAGGCCCTACAAATCGTACGACGGCCCGTTGACTCTCGGCGATGTCAAAGACCCCAAGCATCCCTCACCCATGGTCATCAACGTCGAGCGCTACTTCAAGACGAAACTGGCCAGGCCACCCCCCGCATCCACCGTGGTGCTGAGGACAGACCCTGGCCCCTCACAGGCCCCCGAAGGGGAGGGCATGGAGGGCATAGAGTCATCGCTGAACTTCGGTGCCATTCGACAAGCTCGCTCATACAAAGTCAACGACCCGGATGCACCCGGTGGGAAGCGAGACGTCGAGTTCGACTCCTTGGCGAAGGGCTACGAATACGGCAGGACTGCGGTCCATATCAGCGAATCGGAGTGGAACATGACCAAGATTGAGACCAACAAAGCGTTCGAGATTGTTGGTTTCATCCCGGCCGATAAAGTGAGCCAGAAACCTCATCACTACCCATTGCCGCCGAACGCACTAACAGATAGCCTCAGTTTGAACCCTTCCTCAGCATGGGCGAGAGTTGTATCACAGTGAGCCGCAAGCACGACGACAAGTCGCAGCTCGCCCTATCCTCACTCATCCACGCGCTTTACGAGCTCTCTTCCTACGCTGTCGCGCGCATTGTCCTGAAGGATGGGAAGGAGCCGCAACTTATCCTCCTTGCGCCTGGCATCGAACCCGACCTGGAGTGCCTCTATGATGTCCCCCTCCCTTTTGCTGAAGACGTCCGCAGCTACCAGTTCCCTCCTCTCGATCGCGTGGTCACAGTCAGCGGCCAAACTCTGACGAAACATCGCCTGATACCTGATGACGAGCTCAATGATGCCATGAGCGACTTTGTCGACGCGATGGATCTGGACACTTTTGTGAAGGATGAAGATGGGTAAGCTCTACGCAAAAGATTGCCATGGCATTGCACAGGTCTGACGCAAAAGACAGAGGAGAACCCACAGAATATGCCCCCATCGACGAATCCTTTAACCCGGCCATCCACCGTATCAACCAGGTCGTCCGCGATCGCGCCATCAAGCCGACAGGCGACATTGAACCCATCCCACGCGTCCTCCTCCGCTACGCCGAGCCACCAGAAGATCTCCTCACAAAGGCAAAGGCTGACATGAAGGCTCTCATCAAGGCAGCCGAAGTCAAGAAGGGTACGCTCGCGCACCCGCGGCCCCCTGCCCCCTGGACACATCCACTGACCAACTCGCAGTTCCTCCCAAGGCAAAGAACAAGCGCAACCGCGACGCCGCCAAGCCTCTGTCTGGCCTCGACATCGATGCACTTCTCGGCTCTCTCCCGAAACGCGCCCGTCTTGTGTCCCGTGACAATGCCGTTCCCGAATTCAAGCAGGCCTTGACGAGCGCAACCGACATTGCTGCAATTGAGGAGGCGGCATCCCAGATGGGCGAGGTCATTCGTGGCCTCGTCACTGACAGCTTTGGCGATGCGGAGTACAACCGTGCCATCGAAGCGCTTGGCGTCATGCGCACGGAGCTCATTAACATGGAGGAGCCTGCAATGTACAACAATTTCATCAAGGACTTCAAGACGAGGTTGCTCGCGGGTGAGTTTGGGGGTGATCGGAGGGAGATGTGGTGGCGTGTGCGGACAGGACGACTGGGTCTGATCGACTCGGCGCAAAGTGAAGTGTCCGAGGTCACGAGCGAACAAGCTACTGAGGTAAGTTTCCAGTTCTCTCCTTGCAATGCAAGCGCTGCAAATTTTTCAGCCTTGTCTCTTCTATTGCTAACTTTCGCGCAGTTTCTCAAGTCCAAATAGACCTGTATCTGCTGAGTTCTCTTTGTCTTTGAATTGGTCTGCCCTCAATTGTACGATCAGAGAGCGGATCGGTTAGCGATGAGTATAAAAAGGCCTTTTCGAGAGTACCACCTCCCTTTCACCATCTCTCACTCCTGCCCTCGTGAAATTTCTCAGCAAAGCCAATCCTCTTGTCGGCCATATCAGTGGCTGCTCCCGCATCTTCTCCGTCTTCACGCTGCTGTTCATCTACACGAGCGCGGACAGCCAAAGCAAGCATAGCCTGAAGGGTATACGCAGCGTCGTTTCCAGCATTATGCAGGTTGCGAGTAGGGATCTCGAGGTCACCACAGACGGCGCCGAGGTTGCGGCCCGATGGACAGCTGCGCCAGGCCTGGTGCATGTCCTTTGTGTCGGCACAGCCTAGGAATCCCTGAAGCTGGCCGGGATTAACATCAATATCTTGGAGGTAATTGAGGTCAGCTGCAATGTCATGGCCGACGAGGATAAGAGTGCGATTGCGTTGCATAGGATTGGATGCCGGGGCAGCTGTATGCTGCGTGAGGAGAGCGCGGACTCGTCTGGCGAGCTCGCCAAGCCGAGGAGTTTCGCTTGTTCTACCGAGGTCAGCAGAAGTTCGCGTCAATCCAATGTAACACGCCTCACCCAAAATCGAAGGCATCAGGACAGCCATGACAGTATTTGTGATTGCGCTGAAATCGAGTCTCGTACACGAGAAGATGATGGTGTTCGACCAAAGAGCTCCAGTTTTGGGCGTTGATGCCAGGAGGTACGTTGATGACCTCTCGCGTATCAAGGATGGAAATGCCCACCTCGAGAACGACGCTGTGAGACTCCTCGGCAACCTCGATATCAACGGCCGCAAAGACAGCATCCAGTTCACGGTCATGAGGAATGACTTGCTCGACGTCCACCTGACGCGTGCTGACGCCAGCTATTGGACGAAGACCAAGCATGCGTTGGACCGACCGGATGCCGTCCAGACGGCGCGTGTTGGCTTCCTCGCGGCGCTTGGCATTCTTCTCCTTCTTTGCCTCCTTTTTAGCGAACTTGAGTACATAGAGCTTGCGGACGAGGTCATCCATGACGGCTTCAGAAATGCCTTTCCCAACATCGTCGGCATGATGAACAGGGGTTTCGAGGCGAATGTTAGTGAAATCAGACTCGCAAATAGAGCGGCCGAGAAAACGGGGGCGTGGACTGCCGCCTTCGCCGAATTCAAGGTAGAACTTGCTCCCTGGCGCGCCTGGTGGTATGGTCAGGCGAATCCCCGCAAGAGCGTTGACGATACGAAGAAAGTGCTCAAACTGCACGGTGGGCACGAAGAGCTTGGGAACTTCTTCGAGGGATCTGGGGTTGTAAAGATAGAAGCTGCACAAGTCAGTCATTTTTCATGTCAAGGTTGTAGAAGAAGCACTGTTTGCTCACAAGTCCCATGTATTGCCCTCGAGAATGTCCTCAAAGTAGGGTTCGGCCTGATCGGTGTCAGTGGCTTCAGCAAGGCAACTTCCTACCTTCCTTAGGACCCAACCATACATACCCTTGGACGGTTCGCCTTCCCGATGTACATGGCAGCGTATGTCGTGGCCAACTCCCAAGATGTGAAGGGTAAGCTCATGGCAGACAACTCGCCAGCTTTCAGGCCCTTGAACTGGTCGAACCTTTCGGTCCGCAGTTGCTGAGCCATTACTTCGCTTGGATCGCTTGTCATGGGAGGAGTGTCGTTACAAGGCTCACTGGGTAGGCCTGGTACGTGGGTCGTCTTGACGTTGGACTGTTGCTGGTCGAAAGCCAGATGTTGGGCAACGTAGTCCAGGTCAATGAATGGGGGGTCCGTATGAGCGAGGGGAGAAACGTTGCCGCTGACACAGGACTGCTCAAGCCCAAGAAAGGTGTGTAGTAGCCGCCTTCTATGGGCTGAATTGTATGCCATCTCGGAAAGTACAACCGCCTGACCGACCTGTATATCAAGTCTTGGGTTATATGTCTGTCTGCCTAGATCAGCGAAGTGGAATGGCGTTTGTAGAACAGGCAGATGACAAGCTAGGTAGTTATGAAACGGCGCTCTGATCCATAGCAGGGTCAAAGAACATCGCAAAAATTGTTCGGAACAAGATGGTACTTTCCCACCTACCTGACCTTACCTTTGGAGGACTTCCTGACGCACTGCCTAAAGTGATTCAGTTTGATGGGTGGTGCCTGCCCAACAATCCGTGAACAAACCGATATGGATGCTTGGTGCATTGGCACCGTGTTGCAGGTCTGCAGCAGAATGACGAAATCACCTTGCATCCCATCAAGCCGAGATCCAAGAGATTCCTGAACAGGATACACACCTTCCCATTCAACTCTAGAGCCTATTCAGCACCCTGCTCTACACAACGAGCACTACCATCACCTGACGCTACCATGCTTCAAGCTGACACAAATTGGCCAGCCATTGGTTCTCAACGTGCGCAAAAGTGTAATTCGTGTACCTCAGTGGAGTCCAGCTACAAAGGGTTCATTGTCAGGAGTATCAGCAACGAGGCAGGATAACTTCGGGCACTCCGTTCCATTTCAAGCTTGAGATCATGGGCTGATATGGTGCAGCATGACATGCTCTTGACAACAGTCGCAAGTATAAGGCAAACGCGAAGGCTCGTAAGTGGTGAGGAGAGAGACATGCCCAGCGCGTGGGTCTTTACCGTCGCATTACGATTTCGTCCATCCTGACACAGATTGAAGTGTAACAACGACTTCTTCCAAACGCCAACGCTATGACAAAATATCCTGTTGTACATGTACACGCAGCCCCTTGCTGCCTCTCAGGTGTCGCATGCCGAGCACCTTCTGTGGCTGGTCATTCTCTTCAAGATGCCGTCTTCTCCAGAAACTCTTTCGCTTCGTTAACCTTGGTTGCGAGATAGGGGCTGCCGCCGCGATCGGGATGGTTGAGGAGCATCAGGGTTCGGTGGGCCTTGCGGATCTTGTCCTTGGTGATGGCGCGCTCGCTGGGGACATGTCAGCTCACAGTTCATTTCGATTTCGGAAAGGTGCCGTACTTGAGGGACAGAATGAGAGAAGCCTCCCGCTTGTTCATCTTGGGCTCGAAGCCGCCCTTGTAGAAGGCCTTGCCCATTGCGCCCACTTCGCCGCGCGAGCGTCGCCATGCGACGAGACTAGCCCGACCCTGTGAGGCATGTCAGTACATACAGAGCGGCTGACTTGATTCGGACGGACAAACCAAGAAGGCCGCAACGGCAATACCAGAGCCCCAAGCAAGTGCAGACGCCATTTTGATGTTGATGATGGTGGTGATCCTTACTTTACAGGAAGCCTGACGAATGTGGTGTTTCCGTTTATGATTGCCTTGCCTCACCTCGGGTTGAACCGCAGACTGGAGCCAGAGTTTTTCTCGGACCGGAGTTCAGCCAGCTTGGTTGGCCACCCAGCCACAACAAGCAAGTCTCCACTGCCGCCAATCAGAGGCTTCTCAGTGCACGTTTTCTCCATTAAGCCACAATGAGGGTCCAGTTCCCGATAAGCGATAACGAAAAACTTCATCCGTGGGAGGAACACAGGACAGTAGGTTGCCTTGTCTCCGCGACAATCACCAGGTTTGCCCCCGCGACAACCTGCACCCAATCCGACGTCAAACGAAGACCTTGTCCCTCAGAGCTGCGAGGCAACACGACGATCCGAGTGTTTTTGTTCTTTTGCGACGCTCAGCGCCCCTCTCGCTCGCCGATCCGACTTCCGTCTAGCATTGTCGACCTTGCTTCACCGTCAAGATGAGGTGTGTTACGGTAGCTTCAGCTTTTACGGTGGAACTTGTCCTGACATTCGGAAAAGAGTAGAGACTTGTTACTTCTGCAGTCGCCCTGCCTACCCGAGCAAAGTACGATCCGCCTCCTTCTGTCGCAAGCAATCAATGCACCTCCCCCAAGAATGCTGCGACAAAAAACTTGGCACAACGTCAAATACTAACACATGCTGCAGGGTATCACCTTTGTTCGTAACGATGGCCGCTCTATGAGGTTCTGCAGATCGTAAGGCGCCAAGGTCCACGAGCTCGGCAGCATGTGCTAACTGCAAACAGGAAGTGCCACAAGGCCTTCAAGATGAAGCGTCAGTCGCCCCCAACACCGCCGACGACGCCCATAAGGTCTCTCATGGTCACCGCCCCCTACTAACACCACGCAGGCAACCCCCGCAAGGTCCGCTGGACCAAGTCGTTCCGCAAGGCCGCCGGCAAGGAGATGACTGTCGACTCGACCCTCCAGTTCGCAGCCCGCCGCAACGTCCCCGTCCGGTACGATCGCGATCTCGTGCAGAAGACGCTCAAGGCCATGGAGCGTGTCTCGGAGATCCGCTCGCGCCGCGAGCGGGTCTTCTACAAGAAGCGCATGGCTGGCAACCGCCAGCGGCAAGCTCGACGCTGCGCGCGCTCGTCGCGAGAACCAGCACCTGCTGCCCGCATGCGTGGCTCCGAGAAGAAGGCCCTCGCCGAGCAGGGTGCCACCGAGGAGGAGATTGCTGAGCTCGAGAGGGAGCAGGCCTTGTCTGGCAAGAAGAAGAGCAAGGTCTTCGGCCAGGAGAAGATCCGACAGAGGGTCACTGTCGATGGCGACATTGTCGAGGAGCGCGAGGGCGGCATGCAGTTCGACGACGACGACGAGTCATTCGACGAAGAGGACGGCGAGGAGGACGACGAGGAGATGGATGTCGACTGAGTCTAAGGGCATGATAGCTTGGAGGAATGTTTTGTCATGTTCGTTGGCGTGTCCATGTCGGCTCGTCTGGGGGCCAAATCTTTGCCAAAGTTCATTTCTCGGCGTTTCGGATAGGTGGTGGCATTCCCCATCAACGATGGACGGCGTTTGCGGCCCTGAGGGATACCAAAAAGTTGACGATCATTGAATTGAGCCTTCGTTTGTAATGCTCGTGGTCCCTATTCGGTGCAACGTCGGCGGCCTGGTCCTTGCCCAAGCCTGCGCTCCATAAACACGGATTGAGGGTGATAGTGGCGGATATGTCTATGCTGGGCCCACGAAGGCACTACAAGCCGACCTCCTGGGCGTACAAGTGGGAAACATCATCTCAGTCGACCACTTGCTTTTGGGCAACAGAGTGGCCAAAACGATGGCACAAGTTGAGTACGACGCAAGATATCAGCCACCCATCCGACCGAGTCCTACTACAAAGTATCGAAACAAACAGAGCCAAACGAGTGTCGTGGGTATCTGATTACATATCACGCAAAGAAGCCCCTTTCCGCCTGAACTTTCTGGTTGTCATTCTCAGACTTCGTCCTGCCTTTGACCATTCTGCTCCCTCGCATGCGCCCTCGGTGGCATTGCGAGCCCAGACTCTACGTCCTCAACGACTTTCCTCTCGAGCTCCTCAACCCTGAGGGCTTCCTCTTCTTTCTTGGCAGCCTCATCCTCCTTGCTCGTCCAGTTGCCAGCTCCGCCTCGCCCACTGTAGCCTTTGTTTGCGGCTCGCGCAATGCTCGCATTGACGGCCGTCCGCGTGCGATCAGCGGCGGCCTCCTGTTCCCGTGCCGCCGGCAGTGTCGCCGGGTCGTGGAAGTTGCCAGCGCCCCCGCGGCCAGCACGGGCGTAGGCGTCACGGGCGGCTGTCGAGGCCGTCACCGTTGAGGTGTTGGTAGCGACCTTCTGCGCCTCAAGGTCCTGTCTATTGTCAGACATGCCATAACCAGTCGACCATCGAGAGGAGTTGTACATCTGTGGCTTTGGCCTGTTCAGCCTGCTCAATGTCTTGCTTCGAGTAGAAGTTGCCCCGCCCCGCCGCGGCCAGTTTTCCGGTAAACGTCTGACATGATGATGGTGAAGGACGTGATCGAATCGTGGCTATAATCAGATGAGTTTGAGCTTCAATATCCTGACACTTTGATCACTCGATAGCCAACTCTTGTTTATTTGATCGGAGCAAAGTTGGCTTGAGGCATTGGGGCTGTGTTGCTTTCTTCTTCTCCCCATATGACACTAACGCTGAGTCTATTCCCCATATCGCAGCCTGTGGCGCACCGTGGGGGGGCCTTCAACAGCAAACGTCTACAGGGTCTTTGTGCTCGTGCTGTTATCAGCGTGCGCGCGCTTTCGCCAGCGTACGGGGCAAATCGGACATGTCCAACGATGGGAGGGCTTGATAACGATTCGCAGCATGTCAAATCAATTAGTATCAGCGCATACCCAAGAAGGAATCCCCAGCGGGTGATCTGCAGCGCCAATTACCCCCCGAGTTGTCCAGGTCCAAGCACACCATCACGCTGGAACAAAAGCGCTCAGCGCACCCAAGATCCTCGAGCCATCGCAACTCTAAATGCAAGGGTCCATCCATCTCGGAGCGCGCGCGTGTGTGCCAGGGCGGGAGCATCCCGGGTGCCTGCCGAAGCCCGGCGCCCAGGCCAAACCATCTCGTCTTTGGTCATCCAGGGCATCGGTTCCCCGGTTTATTACCCCTCTTTCCGGAGCAGGCGCACAGAGGCGTCAGTCATGGTTCCCAGGCCATGATGGAGGAAGCACGACACGGAGATGAAGATGAGGGCAGAATTGTAGCCCACGTGCTCTTTTGCGAGCTCACGCAGGTACGAATGGTGAACATTCGCGGAGATGGTGTCTTCAGATCTGTTTTGGCCTTGCATCCAGACTGG